TCACTTTGTAGACCAGCCTGGCCTGGAGCACACTGAGATCAACCTTCTTCTGCCACACAAGTACTGGGATTAAAGGCATGACCATTACTCCCTGACCAAAAATACATTTAAATAAGTCATCAAACATTTCATATTCAAAATATGGCATTTAAGATGTCATGATTATATAAGGCTTTTACGGCAAGACATGTCTGTTCCTGACAACACCAGTCTACTTCAGAGAAATGATGGCTATCATAGAAATGACTAAATGTAGTTAACTTTCTTGCGGGCAAGAGTTAGGCACTGACAAGAAACTGCCCTTTGAGTTAACTACTGACAGTATACTGTCCAAGTTAGATAGGCAGGACACGGAAGAAAGTGACAGCTGAGCATTGCCATGGCAAAGCAGGACAATCCTTCAAAATTCCTGCTTTACAGAAACTTGGTCATATCTTCTAGGTTTACAGGCTAAAGTTAAAAGTCCAACAGTACAGTGGAATCTTGGGTGACTGTCCAGGCTGTCAGTTGTTTTTGTCATTTCTTGGTTGTTTAAAATTGTTTTTATTGAGGTATATATTTTTCTCTGCTCTCTTCCCTTCCTCCCCTCTTCTACCTTCTCCTATGATCTCCATGCCTGCAATTAGTTCAAAAGATTCTGTCTTTTTCTACTTTCCATGTAGATTAGATCCATGTATGTCTGTCTTAGATTCCTCTTAGTTATCTAGGTTCTCTTGGGTGGAGAATTGTAGTCTGGTTTTCTTTGCTTTAGGTCTAAAAGACACTTATGAGTGAGGACATTGTATGTTTGTCTTTCTGGGTCTGGGTTACCTCACTCAGTATGATGTGTTCTTGATCCATAAATTTGCCTACAATTTCAAGATGTCATTATTTTTTTTTCTGCTGTGTGGTCCTCCATTGTGTAAATGCAGCACATTTTCCTCATCCATTCTTTGGTCAGGGAGTGTTTAGGTTGTTACCAGGCTAATACAAATAGTGCTGATAAGGATATAGCTGCACACATGCCCTTGTGATATGATTGAGAATCATTTGTTATACCCATAAGTGCTATTGCTAGGTCTTGAGGTAGGTTGTGTCCTAATTTTCAGAGAAATCACCATTCTGATTTCTACAGTGATTATACCAGTTTGCATTCTCACCAGCAATGTAGAAGTTTTCCTTTCACCCCACATCCTCTCCAGCATAAACTGTCCTCAGTGTTTTTGATCTTGGCTATTCTTACAGGTGTAAGGTGATATCTCAGAGATGTTTTTACATTTCTTTACTGGCTAAGGATGTTGAGCATTTCCTTAAGTGTCTTTCAGTCATTTTATAGTCATCTGTTGAGAGTTCTCTGTTTAAGCCTGTACAATTTTTCCCCATTGGCTTATTTGTTCTTCTGATTACCAGTTCCTTGAGCTTTTTATATATTTAGGATATCAGCCGTCTGTTTGAAGTGGGGTTGAAGAAGACCTTTTTCTATCCTGTAGGCTGCCATTTTATTAAACATTTCTTCTGCTTTTCAGAATGTTCTCAGTTTTAGGTGGTCCCATCTATTAAATATTGCTATTAGTGTTTCTGCTGCGGGGGTTATATTTAGAAAGTGGTCTCCTGTATCAATGTGTTCAAGTAAGCGTACTTCCCACTTTCACTTCTCTGAAGTTCAGTGTGGTTGGTTTTATGTTTTGATCTATTTGAACTTGAGATTTCTGCATGGAGATAGATAAACACTATACTTTCTGTTTACTCAGGTAGTATTATATCCTTCTCAGGTCTCTAATGGAGTTAAATACTAGATAATTGTGGTTCTCTCTCTTGTTACCAAATTGAAACAACTTAGTAACTAGCACGAAATATGTAAGCTTAAGAGAAATAAAAAGTTTATTTTAGGTTGGGATAAAAAATGATTTAGGTACAACACTTTGGACTTACCAAATAGGATAGATAATAAAGTATTTTTTCTAAATTTACCAAATACAAATTGATTGTTCATTCTTTTCTATATATATTTGTATATAGTTGTTGTATGTTTTGTATATAGCTTTACTGTGTTAGTTAAATTCTTCACTTTTTATTTAGTAAGAAGGGGGAAAAGGTATGACATTTTGATCATGTTCTCATAATAAAGCTTGCTTGGAGTCAGGACACAGCTAACAACAACCTGACTGAGAATTACCCTAGAGGTTTAAAGGACTTTGGCCAGGTAGGAGTCAGAATTATTAAGGCAGACTTGAGGGAAGATATGGGCTCTTTTCTTGCATGGAGAACTTGTTTTCTTGTTGTCAAAACTGACTTTGGGCAAAGGCATGGTCATGTCTCCACCACTGACAAGATACATGGAATCCAGCGCCGGGCTGTTGTGGCACATGCCTTTAATTCCAGCACTCGGGAGGCAGAGGCAGGTGGATCTATGAGAGTTTGAGGCCAGCTTGGTATACAAGAGCTAGTTCCAAGACAGGAACCAAAAGCTATGGGAAAACCTTGTCTCAAAAATCCAAAAAAAAAAAAAGATACATGGTATCCGAAAATAGATAAGTAAATCTGTGAAATCTTGACAAGACGAGGTAAGATGGTTTTGAAAATTTTCCTACCTCTGAAAATGGTGTGTCAGTTATTCTAGGTCTTAGCCAAAGTTGGTTGCTTCAATGTTGCAAATGAGAATTTGCATGATTGCCCAGGTAGCCAGTTGTCTCTGTAATTTGTTGCACATTTTGAAAGTTGCTTGATTGAACTTTCTGCTTACTCAAGTAATATTATGTCCTTTCTCAGATCTTTGATGGGGTTGAAGACTAGATAGTTACAGTTAATTTCCTCTCATGACATGGCCAAGTTATTTATTATACAAGACTTAAACTAGTTAGGATAGGATAATTATTGACTATATTGTTCTTATTGTATATAATTGTGTATTGGGCTTAGAACTCGTCTTTAACCAAAAGGGGGGGGTGCTGTAGGAAGCCTTACAGCCAGTGGTTTCCCACCCATTGGTGCATGGCTTCATACACTATATATGCCAACGTAGAGCATGAGTCTGGCCTCTTTTCTGGCTGTGTGATTCGGTTTTTGATCTCTGTTCAAGCACATGATTCTTATTTGTGAGTCTACTCGGTTTTTGATCTCTGTTCAAGCACATGATTCTTATTTGTGAGTCTACTACTAAATAAATAAACATCTATTTCTTAATTCTGAGCAGGTGTTGGGTTTCTTTTAAGCATCCTTCTTCAAGCATCATTAAATGTGAATCATTGCAATGACTAAATGCATTTTTTCCATTGTTTACCATGAGCCAATAGTGACTGGGTTCAGAATGTACTTGACTGAATGAACAACCTCCCAGAAATGATCATGTATTTGAACAAATTTCTTTCCTTAGTGGTTTGTTTTCAATTTTCTATGGATCTTTAGTAGGAGAAGCCTTTCTAGATGAAATTCCTCATTGTATATTATGAGTCTCAATACCCTCAAGTAATTTCCTGACATTTAAATCTACCGTGTTGTGCTTGACATTAATCAGCCAACTTTCTACTTAAACTGAAATGCTTTTACCATCATTATAGGCTCAATCTCTAAATCACAGAAGATATAGCAGAAACAGTTGTTGTTCAGTGCTCAGGAGTTTGGTAACCTAGTGTTTTAATTGTTTTGTTTGCTTATCTGAGTCATTGTGTGGCTCTAAATTCCTGAAAGTAAAGGGAGGCATCATTCCTGGCTCTATTTGTTGTTATGTTATTGGATGATGGCCCTGGAATGCAGGTATTTTTTTATGTCAAGTATATGCTGCTGTGCTGAGCTTCATTCTTATCTTGAATTTTAAAATTTGACAGAGAGTATCACTCAGATTGCTAGGGTTCCATTCCATGGAATGATAACATTAATACTGCCTGAGTATTTTGAGTCATTAAATTGCAGCTATATGAACATCTTTTTGCTTGTTGTGCTTGCTTTGATTTTTGTAAAATCAATTTGATGGTTTTATATGTCTGCATAGATATGTACTATAGGGATATCTGGTCATGAGAGTGATCAATAGATATCAGAAATCTTGACCCTGGAAAAATGGAAAGTTGTAATCCCCACAAGTACTGGCAAATGTGTCCACCTCCATTGAAGATGAGCAAGAGCACTGTATTACTCTGCCCTCTCTCCAGCTCTGTGTTGATTATTTATGACCAACATTTATATTTCTAGTGCTTTCATCTGTCCACTTGTAAGTGTTTTATACAGGCAGTTCTTTTTCTTTTTTAAAAAATATTTATTTATTTATTATGTATATAATATTGTGTCTATGTGTTTTCCTGCAGGCCAGAAGAGGGCACCAGACCCCATTACAGATGGTTGTGAGTCATCATGTGGTTGCTGGGAATTGAACTTAGGACCTTTGGAAGAGCAGGCAATGCTCTTAACCGCTGAGCCATCTCTTCAGCCCAGGCAGTTCTTTTTCTACAAAATGTTATTGGTATTGCAGTTTATGTTAGGGTAATTCAGGTGTCAGGAAGATGAATACAGACCTGAAGTGAAAACAATTCTTTGTAGGGACTTCAATAAAAGCCTTTTATTTTTTCTATGGCTTTGTTTGTTTCATTGAGGTTTGCAATGGAGAATGGTATTAATGTATACTTCTACCACTTCTGGACGTGACTGCATAGACTTGACTGTCATTCATCTCAGACACAAATATACCCACCTCTGTTTTCTGAGTGTTGTGGTTATAGGCAAAATCCATCAATTCACCCTGTTTGTCCATCTATTTTTTCTTTCTGTAGTCATTAATTTTCTATATAATTTCTTATGCATACAATGTACTGTTGATCTTTTCTTTTTTTCTCTCCCTGTGAATAGATATTGCTCTTATAAGTTAGTATCCTATACAAAGGGTATATGAAATAACAGAATTGATTCACCTTTTCAATTTCCTTCTAAAGTGGCTGTCTATGTTATGGAATAATAATGGGGAACACCAGAATCATAAAACTATACTTTCAAAGAAGTATGAATTTCACTGTCATGCTTACATTGTGTACATGTATGGTATATTTTTGAAGACAGTGACCTACGATGATGTGCATATCAACTTCACTCAAGAAGAGTGGGATTTACTGAATCCTTCCCAGAAAACTCTCTACAAAGATGTGATACTGGAGACCTACATGAACCTCACAGCTATAGGTGAAAATGAATTTCCTTCATGTTTCAAAATATGACAGACAACTGTTCTTTAGTTAATGATTTTGTTCTGTAATTTGTTTTAGATGAAGAAGAATAGGTGAACAACACAGTCATAGTTCTTAGGTGCACTTAAGATAATGAGCTAATTGTTGTACAATTTTATATAATATAACATATATATTCTGATACCGTATTTTAGGATACATTTGGGAAGACCTGAACACCAAAGAACATTGTCAATGTTCTAAAAGACATGCAAGGTAATTTTCTTGTGCAAGTTCCTAACAATTTCCCTTGAATAGTTTGTAATGTGTTCTGGAACTTTTAAACAAAAGCAGCAGTGTAAATAAGCACAGCTTTAAATGCATTGATGGTTATAAAATTCTCACAAATCCATATACCTCAATTTCATGTATGTGAATTGCATCTGCAAAGCCTTCATTTAAGAAAAAGTCTAGGAAGCAATGCCTAACCAGATATCACCATTTGATTCATAGCACCATGAGAGCTATGTTGTAGAACTGCTGGTTCATTTGTTTTATGACAGAAAATGTATACATATTTCAGTGATGATGAGTATAGCTACAAAACTTTCTACTAATTCAGTAGCCCATGGTAAGCCTTTTATTACTCATATACTTTTGGTGATTATGCTAAGTTTAATGAGAGAAGGTGAGTCAGGGGTCAAGGGGCAGTTGTTGTGGAGAAACCTTAAGATCTGTACCACAAGTCTGTGAAAGTCAAACCTTGAGGATTCTTTGTGGAAATCTTCTATTCACTATTATTCTTTTCATATATACATATATATATATATATATATATATATATATATATATCACTCCTGACACAAGTGTATGAGCATAGGGTTATGGAAAGATTTAGCATACCTCTCCTTAAAAACAATTAAGAAGAAAAACTGTAGTTCTCATGTAGAGTATACATATTGAATTTCATCCAAAAATACAAAGTTAATTTATTTTCTAGCATCATGGCTAATACATAAATACAAACTTACATTACAAAAAAATGAGTTCTAGGTCTATGCAAATACTTCCAGATGTCTAAGTTCACTTACTATATGTATAATGATTTATAGTATAGTAGAATTATGAAGCAGTAAAGTTGGTGAAGCACTCCGTGTGTGCAGTTCTTTTCAAAAATGTAAAAAAATATCCTAGAAGAAATACAGGTATAGTTATAGATAAAAAGATAAACCATGGCACAATGTAATTTATAGCACAAATATTTTTATTTTTTTTAAAAAAACATTTATTTATTTGTTATATATACAATATTCTGTCTGTGTGTATGTCTGCAGGCCAGAAGAGGGCACCAGACCTCATTACAGGTGGTTTTGAGCCACCATGTGGTTGCCGGGGATTGACCTCAGGAACTTTGGAAGAGCAGGCAATGCTCTTAAACACTGAGCCATCTCTTCAGCCCCACAAATATTTTTCTTGATGGAAAATGACACCTAATGAGAGAACAAAACTTGATTTTAAACAAGTTAAAAAACCTTGATATTTGATTCATTTTTTAAAAAGATTTATTTATTTATTATGTATACAGTATTCTCAGCATTCTGTCTACAGGCCAGAAGAGGGCAGCAGATCTCATTACAGATGGTTGTGAGACACCATGTGGTTGCTGGCAATTGAACTCAGGACTTTTGGAAGAGCAGGCAGTGCTCTTAACCACTGAGCCATCTCTCCAGCCCAGATTCATTTTTATCATTGGAAAAATATGAAGTTAATTCATATAGATATGAGGTTCAACAGTGTATTGAATGTGGTAAAGGTATTACATGTGTAAATTATCCTTGCAGGATTGAATAAAACTGTGGAAAATGTTTCAGTATATTCTCATTGTGCTAAAGCCTTGTTTTATAACATTCATCTGCATAGGAAAGAAGAAACACATAGCGGAGAAAAAAGTGAAATTAAGCAATGTGATGAAGTCTTTTCTTATCAAAATCATCTTGAAAAGCATAAAATAACACCAACTGGAGAGAAACACTACGAATGTAATCAGTGTGGTAAGGCCTTTGCACGTCATAGTCACCTTCAATACCATAAAAGAACACATACTGGAGAGAAACCCTATGAATGTAATCAGTGTGGTAAGGCCTTTGCTCAACGTGGTACTCCTCAAAGTCATAAAAGAACACACACTGGAGAGAAACCCTATGAATGTAATCAGTGTGGTAAGGCCTTTGCTCAACATGGTACTCTTCAAAGTCATAAAAGAACACACACTGGAGAGAAACCCTATGAATGTAATCAGTGTGGTAAGGCCTTTGCGCTTCACAGTCACCTTCAATACCATAAAAGAACACATACTGGAGAGAAACCCTATGAATGTCATCAGTGTGGTAAGGCCTTTGCACGTCATAATCACCTTCAATAGCATAAAAGAACACACACTGTAGAGAAACTCTATGAATGTAGTCAATGTGGTAAGGCCTTTGCATATCAAAATAGTCTTCTCTGGCATAAAAGACAACATACTGGAGAGAAGGAAACTCTATGAATGTTATCAATGTGGTAAGGCCTTTGCACAACATGGTTCTCTTCAAATCCATAGAAGAACACATACTTAAAAGAAACCATATGAACAAAATCAGTTCCATAAGGCTTTTGCAAACCCATGTACTCTTAAAGGCTTAAAAGGAAACATACTCTAGAGATACCTGTGAGTGGAATCTGTGGTAAATCCTTTTTTACAATCATTTCCAAATACATAATATGAGCCCTCCTGTAGAGAAACTCTAAAGTTAATTTGTATATTCTTCAAGAAGATGAGAAAAAAATCATACTGTAGTGTGATGGAGGAAGGTCATTGCTTAAATAAAGAAAGTGCCTTGGACCTGGTAGGACAGAAAATTAGGTAGGTGGAGTAGACAGAACAGAATGCTGGGAAGAAGGGAAGTGAGCTCAGATGCTATGCCACTTCTCTCCAGAGCAGACACGATGATGCAAGCCGTCAGGTCAGACATGCTGAATCTTTCCCGGTAAAACTGAGGCTACACAGATTACTAAATATGGGTTAAGGCAAGAATTGAGAGTTAGCCAGAAGAGGCTAGATATAAGGGGCCAGGCAGTGTTTATATGAATACAGTTTGTGTGTTGTTATTTCGGAGCATAAGCTATCCAGAGGGCCAGGAGCCAGATGGCAGGAATGCAGCCTGCAGCTCCCTCAACAGTAGTGAAATTCTATAAATTAATTCAGTGTCACAATGTTTTGTGCTTCATATAGGAGTAAGGCTTTGTGTGTAATCATCTGAGAAAGCTTGTGCATATTATCATAATCTTTTGGACCTGAGGAAAAAACTGGGAGCTTATTTTTTTTCTAAATATTTATTTATTTATTATGTATACAATATTCTGTGTGTATGCCTGAAGGCCAGAAGAGGGCGCCAGACCTCTTTACAGATGGTTGTGAGCCACCATGTGGTTGCTGGGAATTGAACTCAGGACCTTTGGAAGAGCAGGCAATGCTCTTAACCACTGAGCCATCTCTCCAGTCCCTGGGAGCTTATTTTAAATTGTTCTTTAATATGTTAAGCCACTTACAGTCAGTTAACCAAAATCAGTTATTGTGTAGAAGAATGTTTGATAGTGTCAACAATCTGTTTAAGCATCAGGATACCTCTTTTTATTTTAGTTTGAACCAGCAAAGTAATGGATAAAACCTTATTGGTTACAGAAATGGTATTCCAACCTTGGTTCTCAAACCAGAGCCAAAGGAAAAAAAAAAATTGTCTCTGAATCTAGAACTAAATAAAGAAAGAACATCTCCCTGAAAACAGCCAAAACATTAAAAAGGCCTGTGAAAGAAACACAATTTGGCTCTCAAACCAGAACCATAAACTACTAACAGTTTCAACAATGTATTTAAGCTCCAAGGATAGCATGAAGTGAAATATGAGAGGCATGAAGAGTCAAATCTCTCATACGTTTACTTTTATGTTTTGTATAAAAGTGCCTTTAGAAGTTGGAGTATAATTATGTTATCAGGAGATTGGGAGTGGTCATCAGGAAGGTAGATAGAAGGTGGTTATAAGGAATATTTTTGGAAAAAGAAAGATGGCGAGAATTAATATGATGGAAATGCCACCCCTAGCAATAGCCACAAATCATATAAAATATTATGCAATAACTAACTAAGGAAGTGAAAGGACTGTAGGAAAATAACATTAAATCTTTGAAGAAGACACCAGAGCATGGGAAGATGTCTCTTGAACTTGTTGTATAGAAATCAACATAGTAAAAATGAAAACCTATCCAAAAACCATCTACAGGCTCAATAACATCCCCATGTAAATATCATAAAAATTCTTCACAGACCTCAAAATACAAACACTCAACTTCATATAGAAAAGCCAAAAAAATATAGGATAGCCAAAACAATCATACATAACAAGTAATTTCTGAAGGCATCACATTCCGTGACTTCAATCTACTATAGAGCTCCAGTACTGACGAGAGCCTGGTGTTGGCACAAAAACAGATAGGAGGACCAATGGAACTGATGCTCAGACCCAGACATCACTCCACTCACCTACTACACCTGATTTTTGACAAAACATGAAAAATATAAAATGGAGAAAGAAAGCATATTTAACAAATGGTGCTGGCATAACTGAATATCAATGTGGGGAAGAGTGAAAGTAGATCCACATCTATCATCATTTAACAAAACTCAAGCCCAAGTGGATCAAATGCCATAACATAAAGGCAAAAACACTGAACCACATAAAACAGAATATTGGAAGTACACGTGAACACATTGGTAAAGAAGACCACTTTCAAATTATAATTGCAGAAGCACAGACACTGAGAAAAGTGATACATGAGATCTCCTGAAGCAAAAGTTTTTGTAAACCAAAGGACATGATCAACAATACAAAACAGGCAGCCTATAGTATGGGAAAATATATTCACCTACCCCACATTGGACAGAGGACTGATCTTCAAAACATACAAAGAACTAAAAAAAAGGTCATCAAAGAACAAATAATCCAATAAAAAATGGAGTACAGACCTAAATAAAAAACTTTCAACATATGAATCTAAAACGGCTGATAGACACTTAAGGAAATTTCCAAACTCCTTAGTCATTAGAGAAATGAAAATCAAAACAACTCTGAGATTCCCTCTTACAGCTGTAACAATAGGCAAGATCAAAACACTGATGACAACTTAAGCTGGAGGGGATATGGTGGCTCAAATGTTGGTGGGGTTACAAACTGAGTCAGCTACATTGGATATCAGTATGGTTATTCCTCAGAAAATTAGAAAGCCAATTGCCTGGTTGTGAGGCATGCCTTTAATCCCTGCACTTGGGAGGCAGAGACAGATCTCTGTGACATCAAGGTCAGCCTGTTCTACAACAGCTAGTTCCAGGGCAGGCTCCAAAGCTAAAGAGAAACCATGTCTTGGAAAGTCAAAAATTAAAAAAAAAAGAATGAAAGAAAATTAGGAAACATTTTATCTTAAAACCCAGCAACAATACTTTGCATATGTACCCAATGGATGCTCAATCATACCACAAGGACAAGTGCTCAACTGTATTCACAGCACCGTTCCTTGTTCAGAACCAGGACCTGAAAACATCCCCTCCACTGAAGAATGGACAAAGAAATGGTGGTATATTTACACAATGGAGTACTACACAGTGGATAAAATCAATTACATTATGAAATTTTTGTGCAAATATATGGATCTAACGCATCATAAAAGAGTGAGTAAAGTCAGACCCAAAAAGAAAAATATAATATGTACTCACTCCTAAGTGACTTTTAGATGTAATAGAGGACAGCCAGCCTACAATTCACAATGCCAGAGAACATAGACAACAAAGAGGAAACAAAGACAGACATACATAAATCTGTTCTATATAGGACATAGAGAAAGACAAGATCTTAGTAAATTTGGAGCATGTGTATCATGAGAGAAGGGGAGGGGAGAGAAAGGGAGAGGAGGGGATAAATGTGTAGTTGAATAAAAAAACAGTTTAACTACTGTTAAACATAGTAGTTATTGGGTGAAATAAACAAGGCGATAGTAAGAAATGAATAGCTGAAATTTGGAACTTTGCTTAATTTTGTACCTGAATAAAATAATTCCTCTTGCTAAGCCAAACTGATTTAATTAAAAACAACCCACACATATTTTCCAAAAGAAAATTAAAGATTTGTACCATATCTCCCCATGTTCCTAAATCTATAATCATACATACACACAAACGCATGAGAGAGACGTGTTTGATTTTACTTAATGTAGCTGCATTCATTCTAAATTCAGCATTAAACACTGAGTTAATGTTTATATGTTGTATTTTGAAGGCTGTACAAGTCAGAGTGACAAATCCTGAACGATGTGAGTACTAATTGAATCTTTAACTTTTGAAAATACCAAGTTAGAGTGTAAGAATATCTCGGGCCATTTAGAGGTCCAATGAGTACCTACAAGAGAATGGATCATGTATACAATAAATCTAGCAGCCAGAATCAAGAGTTGCAATCAAGAAAGTGACCGCACACTTTACAGATTCATTTATAATGTAAGAGACCATGTCCAAATGAATTGGTATCTTAAGGTTTGTGCCTGAAGGAGCTCTCACAGCACCTACCCCTTTTGCTTAAATAAGAAATTCCAAACTCAATACAAAACTATGTATACAAGAAACAGATATCAAGTATAAAGTTAGAATGACAACCAGCATAAACCATATTACACAAAGAATACATTCTAATGTTTTGATAAACATTCTATCCTAAGGCGTCTAAGACTTGTAGTAGGAATGGCTTGATTAGACCATAAGAGGATGGTCACTATGCTTATCTGATCTTCAACCCCATCAAAGGCCTGAGAAGAACAATATTACTTGAGTAGATGGGTTGTGAAGTCTGACAAAATAACTGCATAGGTATTACAAATATTCTAAACAAAAATCGCCATATATTCTATAAAAGTTTAATTTGAATTTGTATCAATATACAAAATCTATACCAATGTAAATTATTCATAAATAATAGCTCACAATTATTCTTTACTCACTACTATGAGTGTGAATAAGTGATCTACCTATTATCCCATTCAATTTGTCCTCTTTTTTGAGATCTCTGGGTATACATAACTTCAACCAACCAACCACCCTATATGAGTAATAATCAACTCTTAAATGTTGTCCCTGACTGTGAAGACAAACGTTGGGAGAGAGGATGGCATCTTCTAGAATTGCTTCCAGATGTCATGGGGGCGATGTCCTTTCTACAGGATTTTATAAAAGTAAAATGATGGTTAAATTTCAAGATTGCTATTTTGAATAATTGCAAA